GAGCCATTTCTTTTTCGTATCACATACGTGAGTACTTGCTTCCGGTACTCGGTCGCATAAAGTTCTCCCTCCCTGACCCCTGTTTGCAGATACACCCACCTCAACCTCAACGACGCCGCCCCCTCGGACATCGTAAAAGAGATCGCCATCAACGCTAAAATGGCCTCTTCGGAATACCTCGGACTTAACGGAACCGCATGGTTCTCCCCGCGCTCGCTCGTCACCCCGCAAGTTTCGGGCTTGTTCAACGGCGACCTGTATGCCGCTCTGACGGCTGCTGGGATATCAGCCGTCGTGGGAGATAATTCGAGGACGAATATTGTTCCGAAGAATGTCTATCATCCGTTCAGGACCACGCCGCAGGGGTCCAACTATGGGGGATTCTTGGTCGTGCCGCGGCAACCCACGTGAGTAGATATCGATCAGAGCTCTAGTTCGCGTATCTTATCACCAGTATTTGGTTCCGGAAATCGAAGCGAGGTATATTTTGACTGCACGACACCAGCTGAAAATATTGCAGTTTATAATAACAGAACCCAGTCCAAGTGGGACTGGAATCAACTGCTCAACTACGAAGCAGATCGCGTCACCAAAATGTTGCTCGCTCTTCGGCAGGATCCGCACATGTAAGTGTCATCCGCTTTTATTAGCACCCATATGTTTCGTTCGTGCTAACACCCTGCACGTCCCAGGATGCATCAAGCGAATCTTCGCAACGCAGACATGCCAGAAGTGATCGTGGGATCCGGCAAGGGTAGGTTAAGCCTGCTCCAACAATGGGTTGAGGCTGTTGTCGCGAGCTTTACACGCCTGGTCGATTGGCCCATTGTCACGTGAGTTGGAACCTCTTGCATCGACTCCACGAATCAAGTACTATATGAAATTCCTCAAGGCTACGAATGGACGATCTTGCACTGGATTACGAGGACAGAGAGAATCGCGACACTGTGTGCAACCCCACGACGACACTCCACGTCTCGTACAACGGTGTCGTCGGGGCGCTTTCCCTCACCGCTCAAAGCTATCCATGTCGCGTACCTATCACGCTACCAAACGGGTTGAATCCAGTCCCAACGACGAAGGACAATTGGACAATCTCGAGAATTGGAAATAGCCCGCCTACGATGTGGGCTACTCTTTCGGAATGTGACGAAGCGGTGGTGGAGTTTCAGACATCGTCAACAGATGGTTTGAGATGGGATTGAGCATTTCGTGTGAACATGTCGCTGATTATATGTCGGGTGACTTTTGACAGGACGACATTTTGTCAATCGTTTTCATATAACATATTTCCAATACAATAGATGCAATTCATATGACAAAGTTATGCTATGTCACCTAGCTACTATGCCACCTCACTCTCTTGATCCGACTTGAGCCCGAGACCTTTTGATTTGGCGCTGATCGCTCGAAAGTTCTTCCCCGTCACCAGCCCCACAATAGCGTCATGCATGCCAGAGACACTTCTCACGGACCCTTTTTCGTCAAACAACAACCAGATCAGCGCCATGACTGACGAGATGGCAAAGCCCACGTAGCAAACCAAGTTCCAACCGCCGCGGGACCATGTGTTGGATCCCACCACAGAGCCTAAGGATCCACCGGCGAATACGAAGATCATGTACGTGGCATTTAGGCGGGACCCCGCGGATTCGAGGCCGGGGAGTTGAGTGTGGCGGAAGACGCGGAGGTTCTGAGGCATGTGACTTTAAAGAACACGGAGAGTACAGCACATCCACATCAACCACTCATTTTTGCCCCATAACGAACAATAGCACCCATCAGCTCACTTGAACTGATTACCAAGGTCAATCAAGACCCCTCCAACAATGATCGCCACGATGTGACGTTGTCCTGCAGTGATGAGCAGTGTCCATGCAAGAAGTGACACCACAAATCCCAGTGGAACGATATTGTATGGACCAATACGATCAGCCAGACGTCCAGTGTTTGGTGATTGGAGGGTTGTGATGATGGAGGCGAATGCAAGGTATCCGACGATTGACCTGAATACGGCCGTGATCACCAATGACGGTGACTAGAACACACACAAGACAAATTGAAAATGGCTTTACTCACGTTTTATATCCATAGACGGGACTCGTGAGCAAAAATGATACAGCGACCAGGTAGGAGTTGAGTTGCACGAAACCGAAGAACGTCATCAAACAAGCATTCCGCAATGCAGGGAGGCTGAAGAACTGAGTGATGACCTTTGCCACATTTGTGACATAGGCGACCAGCTTCTGTCGCGTGGTTGAATGGTCAGCCACTTGCGTTCTCCGAGGTAAGGTGAACCAGAGAAGAATAATGGTGGCAACTTGGACTCCTGTGTGGACAAGGAAGAGGCCCTGCCACGCCCAATATTGTCCAATAATTCCACTTAGAACCCTCGCGATCATCATTCCAAGGTAGAAACCCCCGAGAATGATTCCCAGGACCTGTCCTGATTGATCCTTCGTGCTCAAACTCATCGCGAACGGTTTGATGAGGTCGTTGACCGCAGTTCCCCACCCAACGAGAAGGCAAAAGAACTGAAACAGAGGGAACATGTTAGCCCTCATGAGTCCCTGCGCGAGTACCGCGACCATGAGGACGCCGAACTGGAATAATAACAATGATCTCTTGGGCCACACGTCTCCCGCGGGGATGTACAGGAGCATTCCGACTGAAAATCCGCCCTGAACGAGTGCCTGAAGGGATCCAGCGGAGGACTCCGAGACGCCGAAGTAGTCTCGCAGAGTCGGAAGGATGGGTTGGAGGAAATAGTTGTTCTGAACGCTTACGCAGCCGGCGAAGGCGAGTATGAGGTTCAGAGTCAAGGAGATGCCAGGCGACGTGTCCTGTGCCTGATTAGGCTCCGCGATGGGACTTTCCATGTCCCCGAATTCTGCATTCTCTCCGGTCGGCACGATTGCTTTCTCCATCTTCTCCTCCTCGGCAGGGGGGGCAATCGAGCGCTTCTCCTTCTCCTAATCCATGTAAGTTCCAGCGCTCTACCGCGTGCAGCGTCTTCTTCTGCGACGGCGGCCATTTCGTGATTTGATTCCTCGGCAAAGCTCGGCTCAACATCGGCATCGAAAAAGCTCCGCATCTGCGGACCGCCACCAACTCCTGACCCCTGAAAGTCCCCCAAAAATCAAACATTTATGCAGCTGGAATTATGGAACTGCTACTAGGAGAGCATTGTATGATAACATTTGGTCCATTCCACCCAACGCGAAGTCCACTTTAATGTACTCGGCAAGCCCTTCGTCCAACGTTTCTTGCCCATCGTCCTCCTCGTCCTCCTCCTCGTCGTCTTCCTCGCCGTCATCGTCCACTTCTCGACGCAATTTAGATCGTGCACCGCTGCGGTCACTTCCACCTCGCTTATCCTTGCCTCCACGCCGGTCTCCCCCCTTTCGAGACTTTCCGTGGTTCTTCCACTCGCTTTGTTTTGCTGGCGTGACTCGACTTTCCCGGGGTTGAGCGTTCTTGAGGCTGGAAAAAGGAGGGAGCCCAAGCCGCTTCTTCCGTTTCCGCTCCTCCACACCTTCCGCGATCCAGACGTGAACCTCGGAGAAGCCCGCATCCTCCAGGGCCTCCTTGAGTTCCAAAAGGGTATACACACGAAAGCGATAGGTGAATGCTCGTGGTAAGGATGAGCCGTCAGGGAATGAAAAGGAGAGTTCGATTCGGACAGTGGATGTGAGTGGGTCGTACGGTAGTTGTGTGAAGGTGTACTTCGGGTATGAAAACAATTAGTAACTTTGAGTGAGTGGATACCATGTCAGAAACCCCAAAGAACTCAGCGTGAAATCTGGGGACTTCCTCTGGAATAATCACGCAGTGGACGTCAACGCAGCTCCGCGGTGCCCATTATCTCTCCCCATGTTCTTATCCCTTCTCGCGAACGCGTCTCGGGTGGAGAAGTCTGTGTCCAACTGCTCCTGTTCGCTGGAGTCATCGGAATCGCCATCATCGTCACCTCGTCGTCGATTCGGGTCCTCCGCTTCCTGGATATTCGATTCTCCAAATGCAGCCGTTACGCTACTTCCGCCAAACATGTCAATCATGAGATCTCCCCCAAGGTCGCCAGGACCGGTGGGTTTCCTCAAGCCGTAATTTCGACACACCGTGAGGTATTCAACAAGCTGCGATCTCCCATGGAAGAAAAACATTGCGTAGTTGAAACTGCAGATAATGTCCGCTCGCGGTATCGCGGGAAGGCCTGCTTTTGGCTTCGACTTCACGGAATGCCCACGCTGTCCGACGGCAAGCACGTCCCCCACCAGAAGCTGCACTCGTTCTACCTCGGGACCTGCTTCTTCATCTACTTTGCTTCCCCCGGAGATTAGCCCCATCCGCTCTTGTGCGTATCGAACCAGGGTCGATGTCAACACCGAAAGCTCTCCTCCCAACGTGAGACTTGCACCAGTGTCTGGAAATCTGGGCAGTTCCACAAAAGTCTTCTCGAAGAATAAGTGGCGTTCGGGAGTGCGATCCATCAGGGTCGGGATCCGAATCTCCATCGTCCTCTGAACTCCCCGGCTCGGATTCCATCACATTCCCATAGCTCGGGGGCACCTTCCGCCGTCTCGGCATCTGTGCTACCTCCGCGTAGAACTTTTCCATGTTGCGAACTTCCTCGCGTGGGGACTGGAAGGCTCGGTGGTAGATATCGTACTTGTCAACAGTTGCCGCCATCGACGAGGATGGAGAGATGCCATTCGAGGAGTGAATAGATGACGATTTGACGCTCGTCTCCACGCCCTCTCGCCGCTTTGTCCATTGCTGTTTTTTCTTGGGCATGGATCGTTTGACAGTTGGATGCCCTCGGTTTTCTTTCCAACCTTCAGTAATTCACAAAAAAAACAACATCTGGCAGGCCCATTTGCTCCGATCGCAACGTGACTTCGATCCGGTATGAGTTGGATGGTGATTTTGGGACCTTGATTACAAAGATCAAAATAGAAATAATATATTATATATGCATAATTTGAAATTACAAGGTGACAGTCTGCTTAGCGCAGTGGTTAGCGCGTCTGCTTTACACGCAGAAGGTCGTGAGTTCAATCCTCACAGTGGACACTTTTGTCCTGCTGTGTTCAGGATTTCTTTTAGGTTGTGGGATGTCAGGTTGGGGTGTGGCGAGGGACTTCGCTTTGCCGGAACGAAGAAGGAGGACAGACCACCATACTCCGTTGGTCTTCTGCCACCCGTTCTCACACCACTTGAGAACTGTCTTGTTGGGGCACGCCTTGCTGGCTGGACTTGGTCTTTGCCTTCCTTCCATACCCTATGGTCTGCTTGAGCGAGGAAAAGTCCAGAGAACCGGTTGTGCAAGCAACCTTTGAGACGACAAGTACAAAAAATAACACCGACGTGGTGTTCCTCATGGAAGGCATGGAACCGTGCAGCCAGATGGCAAAGCTTACTTCATAAATTGCATTGCAACAGTGAAATGCCCTCATTTGAAGTGCTCACAGCTGGCCCTCATGCTTTCTGCAATTTTGTGTGGGGATTCATAATCGTGTCAGGGGGAGCGGTCGCGGGGGTTCTGCGTAGTGTCTACGGGGAACGCCGGGGGCACGCAGGCGGCGTGCAGGTAACGAGTATGGGGGAAACACGGGGTACGAGTACGAGACGGGCAGTCACACCGAGTCACCAGGGCGGTGACGACGGGGGGGGTTCCGAAGCAGAGCGAGTTTTTGGGTAGAGCTGAGCTTCTTTTGTAACAGATACAAAGTCGTTTATAAATCGCCAAAATTCTAATTTACGCTATGTCTTATCCGTTTATGAGAGGTGGTTGCGTGTGATTTCGTTGACGTGTGGGGTGGCCTCAGCGGAATCGGGCTCAGCAACCTGCGAGGAGCGCCCAAGCCCCTCACAATCGTTCCTTCATAACTAAAGAAACGTTCATGGAATACAACCCAGCGACGAGATGACACATGGTCAATTGCGGCAGCCAGTGATAGCAAAGCTCCACCATTCAAATGGCTCCTTTTCTTATCGATGCTTCGTCTTAGAAGGGCTTCTCTTCGGTTTTCCAACGTCGAATTGATCTGTCAACAATCCTTCAGCTCACCCCCTCCCCCTTCCCTCCCCACCAATGGTGCAGCGGGAAACGGGGAAGCGCTGACGCTCCACTCTTGGAAGAAGTACACCCAACACCCGTTTCAACATTTACATCTTGATTACGCGATCAACAAATTAGGTCGCTCGAAACCGTGAGCCTCAAGTGGTTTCCTGGTTCGTGTGCGAGGTATCGTTTAATCTCCATCCAAACCTTCTGTTTCAAGCTGCCACTGGGAAGTCTGCCCCAGTAAACCCGCTTGTCTTAGAAACTGACGAAGAACGGCGAACCTTCGCAGAAGGAGAAAGTACGTTGGCTTATGGCTCCACAAGAATATTCGAATATTTGGGTAACGACGGAAGGTCAGAACTCTGGGATATATCCAAGGCATTCAGTACTTCTCTAGGGAATGCAGCGGGCTACAACGCAAAGTGCAGCTGCCAAGTGGTTCTCACCACGGGAGACACGTTCTCATGTCTGAAACTGTTACAGACAGTGTCAAAGTGGCATATCCGAGTGACAGGTGAGCTGGAGACTGATCGCTCTTTATGAATCCCACCCACGGGTCGTTCACGAAACCTTGACTTTTAGAAACATGCACCGGAAGATTTTCGGATGCTTTCTAATGAGCCAAGCGTTTGAACTCGCTTATGGTATGTGAAGTCTGGTGTCTTTCTCCCATTGCCGTGCTACAACCGCACGTTCCGTTCACCATTATAGCCACCGCGTGGAGCTTTACTCGAAACAGACCCTTGTTCCTCTCTCTGGACGACGTTTTGTTCCTCCACCCTGTCGACATCGGTAGTGTTCTCGAATTCCGTGCCCAAGAAACATACGCGCCTCCGCCAGAAACGAAGAAGTCTGACGGCACATCGTTCAAGAGCTTCGTTGTTGCTGTGCGGTGTGATGTGATCGAGCCAGCAGAAGGTAATTCACCAAATTTGCACAAGTGCATGAGATCTTCTAATTTGTAATCTTCGTCTGTTGAACCCTGCGATGCGAAGGAACGAGAAAGACCACCAACACTTTCTCGTTCATCTTCACATCCTCTGAGTCAAGGGGCTCCCATCTTCAGCCTCCAATACTACTTCGACCTGAGACGTTTCTCGAGGCCATCGAGTTTCTTGATGGAAAGAGACGGTGGGAAGCAGGTTGGAAGCACATAAACGAAGCTCTTGAAAGTTCGAGGGCAGTTGAGTGGTAGGAGCTTAGAACAGCGAATTTTTCATGACGTGAGAGTGAATGTTGTGTCTGAGTTGAAATGTAGACTTCGTTTTAAGTACTTTCTGACTTGAACTTCTTGCCATCATGGAGTCAGAATCTGACCCCAATCGTCTCATCTCCCCAAAGAAAAGCTCATTGGCCGCGCGATGTACCTCAATACCAGAGATTCTGTGCAGGATGCTTCATTTCGTGGAGGAATCAATGCCAATTAAGCTGGGGCAATTCGCTCTCGTCTGGTGAGCGAATGAGAAGTTTACTGCTCTTCTTTAACATCCTTTGTACATTGATGATCCTTCACGGAACAGTAAGGCATGGCATGGCCCTGCGACGACCCCGAGTTGGCGAACTGTCGCAATTGGTCAACCCTATTCCGATTTATCCAACAGCAACTTGGTGGCCTGGCCCGTCCTTTTATACCGTTATAACGCTCTGATCCCGGAAAGGAAGTCGCTTGTGCGACCTACCTCTGGCTGTTGACCTACAAAATCGGACCCTCCGCAACAGTGATACTGGAGAGGCGCTTGCTTTCCTGGAAGCGATCGCCCCGTCTGTGAAGTCCTTCTCGTACAGGGGATTGGAAGGAAATCTGGTCACATGGCTTCCGCTGATACAAAACGTTCCTTCTCGAAAAGCACAAACGTGCCTTCGAAAGCTTGACCTGGGACTCGGGAAGGAGCAGGATGATTCACTCGTCGACGTCATTTTGAGAGAAGCTCAACACTTGACGCTCCTCTCACTGGGTAATGTGGGAGCGTCACTATCAATTCCCAGCCTGAGCGGTTTGAAGGATTCTCTCCGCGAATTACACCTGACCACACGATATAGGAAATCAGTCTTGAGCGCAGATGTGTATCAGAGCATTGCCTCTCTCTCGAACCTTCGATTCCTTTTGGATTTAGGGTGATGTTGATAGCATGTTTCATCGAGTGTGGAAGTTGAAGTATCTCAGGCAGGTCACGCAGAATGGTCTCGAAGAGTTCTACTACGACCAATTTCGCCTCACATTTCAAGAAGGCATTCTTCCAGTGATTCGTAGCTCTGATCACTCACAGCTGAAGGTTCTGAACCTTTCATATGCCAATTGCATTGACATCAATTTCGTTCAACATCTCGCGAGATTTTGCCCGAACTTGGAAGTTTTAAAACTCAATTACTGCGAGATCGAGGAAGCCTCTACCATCATCTATCTCCTCTTGAAACTAGAACGCCTGAGAAAATTGAACTTGGAAGATAATTGGATCAAATCCACGGATCGAGGTACTTCGCCCGTTGTCCAACATCTCCTGACTAGTCATGGCCCCGAAACACTTCGTGACCGATGACGACGTTATGGAGGACTTGGGGCAGTTGCAGACTGCCAAATGTTCCAGTTGCGGGCTCCACACGGAATATGTTTGATGCCAAGAATTGCAGATTTTGTGTCCGGGAATACCTTGAGCTAACGGACGAAGACTTGAACAGTTGACACTGCTGCCATCGACAGTATAAGTAACATTTCAGATGATCTTAGACCAATTGCACAAGTGCATCGCCTCTTCGCCTCTAATATCTACAACTGTTGCTGCGAACTTAGTACCTAAAATACAGGACCCGATGATTCAATCATACTGACGTGAATAATCAAATTGTTGGGAAGCTATCAAGAGCCGTTGATTAATTCGCAGGGCCACATATTGCAGTGCAAACCCTGGATGTTGTGTCTCAAGGGTTACACAACGTAGCCCATGCCAACGATTTATAACAAACGGTATATTCTGCTCCAAGTAAATGACCACATCAACAACACAAGGCGCAGTACTGCCTCGTAAAGTCAATGTCACAATCCGACCACCATCCCATAGCCACCTCCGAGCGCCGCATATCTCGCCAAAGTACTTTCCTCGGTCATGTCCGGCGTCCCCTTCGAGGTCGGTCCATCAGGCTCGCCACTGACCAACTCAGACCACACAGCTCTCGCCTCACTCGCGAGCCATCTCCACCGTGGGTCGTCGCGAAGGCTCGGATACCCCGAAAACTTGGCATCTCCCTCGACTGTGCCCACAGACCCGAGAGAACCCTCCCTCGACAAAGCTCCACCCGTTGCTCCACCCCTTCGTACACTCCCCCTCCGGATGACCTCCCTCAAACGCCCACCCACGCCAACACGCCGGAGAATCTCTTCTTCGACACGCTTTCGCCGGGCGATCTCCAGGGCAACGAAGTGGGCTGCCGAGCGGGGACGGAGGACTTGGGACGGTAAGGCCCAGGTGACGAGGAAGTGCAGGGTAGCGGAAGCGACGAGGCGACCAGAGAGATTGAAGAAAGACAACTAAACGGCGGTGGTCACGGGTTTGGTGTTCAAATCAGCATCTGAATTTGCAAAGTCGCTTGCCACATCAGGTTACACACCTGTGCACCACCAACACCTCCCTGAGCGTCTCTCACGAGGGCACGCCATCGTAAAACCGTCTGTCGTTCTTTCTTAGGGGGTGCATCGCTTCCATCCCCAGCACTGGCACCCTCTCCTCCAACATCGGTCTCTGGTTCCGTTGCAGCCCGACTATCACGATTTTCGTCCCCATCAGGTCCCTCTTCGCCGTGGTCCCGGTAGAATCCCACGTGCACGCTAATTATACCACCCATTGCGGGTACAACGTCGGGCAGAACTGCAGGTGGGTTCAGCAGACTCGGCGGCTTGTCTGACGTTTGGGTGGCGGAGGTAGTCGGTGCATCGGCAGAGGTCGATGCAGGGGGAAGAGAAATAGCACGGGCGAGAAGAGCGTTCCTGGACAATAATATCAATTTGTGACGC